GGCTTGAGCTTGCACATGTTTTGGAAGCTGAGTTGCAGGGCCTCAAACCTGCATATCGTGGTCTGCGAAAACACATTTCCATAGAGCGTTCCCAAAGCTAGTCCGACGTCCGCCTGCGTGAAGCCCAGCTTGATCCTCCGTTGCTTGAACTGTTTCGCAAACTGCTCCAAGTCGTCCGAGGTCGGCGTGTCCTCGTCCGAGTGGTCGTGGTGACTCTGGTGCGGCTGGTGCTGGTGCTGGGACGGTGGATGGCCGTGGTCGCTGAGATGCGGGCTGTGGTGGTCCTCGTGCGCGTCGCGCATGCTGTGGTGGTGGATGCCCTGGCCGCTGCCCGGGATGAGACCGTTCACGCTGAACCCGGGCTGCGAGTAAATAAGGCTCTGTCCGTTCGACGTGGCCATGCTGGGGATGTGAGCCGCCGTCGTTGTTCTCCATGCCCTTGAATCGTGATGGTTCCCGTGTGTCTGATGTACCAGATGGGGTGGCCGCGACTGATGCTGTAAATTGCTGGAATTGTGCATCTCGTCCCGGGTGCTCTGCACCGCTGGCTTGATGTCCTGCTCGCCGAGGGGACTGGACGACCACGGACCTCCTTCTCCGTGTGACAAGGCTGTTATCCACTGGTGCGCGTGGCTGAGCGGGTGACTGTTGCTCTGCAGTGAGTAGTCACTCTGCAACAGGGTTTGCGCGTCCCTGTAAGCCGTGGCTTGCTGCATGCTCCCAGGCTCCGAGTGTACAATAGATGGGCTGGAGGTGAGGATATTGTAATGATTGGATGCTGTAGTCGCCATGACTCTCGGAGCCGGACTGATCGCTCCTATTAAAGGAACCTTGCATTTGACAGTTACTCTTTTGCCACAGGCGTCTCCCAGGCTCTTTGCCGAGTGTACGCAGCGGCGCGCACCTGAGCTCCGCCCCTCGACGACGCTCATTGGGTGGAAAGGGACGATGGACGCGTTTTTTGGAGGCAGCCTTCATTTCATTGGATGCTGGAGAGTCTTAACAAACACTGCCTCTTTCCCTCAAAAGAACTCAGTGTCCTGGAGCACCTCTGAAATGTGAGGGACCGACGGGCCACCAAGACCGGAGCCAAGAACATCAAAGGTTATGATTTTTATAACTTGGAGAGAAATTCATTTCAAACTTGTCTGTTACGGAATTTGCGATTTTGTGTGTGTATGTATGTATGTATGTATGTATGTGTCTTATTTAATAGAATTCATGCAATAAATGAAAACAATTTTATATGATGTCATTTCATATATTTATTGATTACAGGTTCGGGGTTTCATTTGTCAAATAAGGGAAGCTATCTAATCTTTCTAGCGTGATGTTTGCTGGCCTAACTACAAAGAAGTAGGCTATTTGGACACAGTCAACTTTACGGACTTTACGGAGAATTAAATTAAAGTGTATTAAAGAATTTGTTTTCCAGCTTTAGACCAGATATTAACTAATTTGTTTAAAATATCGTTTGTCTCATTCAGGTGTTTGATTTTGAATAACTGCCACAAACAAACAAACCAAGGCTTTAATGAATAGCTACGTTTGCTGGCCATCACAGGCAATAACTATGTAATAGACATGCATTTTCTGTAAAGTTGCTTTGAAACAATGTGTATTGTGAACAGCGCTATACAAATAAATTTGAATTGGACTGAAATGAACTTTGATGAGTGAAATTATGCTGTCTTGAGCAGATCAGTGTTAGAAAAAAATTTGTAATCACAAAAGAAAGAAAGAAACGAAAGAACAGAATAAGAAACAAACTGGTATTTATTTTGAGGCAGATATTTCATTTAACATTTAAACATGTATTACTACATATTAATGTAGGCCTACTTTACATCAGTTTCAAAGTAGGTGATACTATAAGAAAGAGAAACATGACGTTATATTATGTTGTCATTTTTCTCTTTCAGAAATAAAGAGCAGAAAATATGTTGGCTGTATATATAAATTGTACTTCTACCATCTCTGTAAAGCATAAACAAATAAAAGCAGATATACGTGTAGGACGCGTACTAAAAAGTAACAGCCTTCCATTTTTTTTAAAAAATTAATGACCAAAAGAAGGCAAAAAACTCTCATAAACGTTTTTAGGTATAAATTGCGTTCACATTATCTGGTCCCAGATAAAGCACAGTAATGCCGATTTGATAAAAAAAAAAGTTGTAATTCACAGACAGAAGCACATGTGTTGATTTTCTGTAAAGTTGCTTTGAAACAATGTGTATTGTGAACAGCGCTATACAAATAAATTTGAATTGGACTGAAATGAACTTTGATGAGTGAAATTATGCTGTCTTGAGCAGATCAGTGTTAGAAAAAAATTTGTAATCACAAAAGAAAGAAAGAAACGAAAGAACAGAATAAGAAACAAACTGGTATTTATTTTGAGGCAGATATTTCATTTAACATTTAAACATGTATTACTACATATTAATGTAGGCCTACTTTACATCAGTTTCAAAGTAGATGATACTATAAGAAAGAGAAACATGACGTTATATTATGTTGTCATTTTTCTCTTTCAGAAATAAAGAGCAGAAAATATGTTGGCTGTATATATAAATTGTACTTCTACCATCTCTGTAAAGCATAAACAAATAAAAGCAGATATACGTGTAGGACGCGTACTAAAAAGTAACAGCCTTCCATTTTTTTTTTAAATTAATGACCAAAAGAAGGCAAAAAACTCTAATAAACGTTTTTAGGTATAAATTGCGTTCACATTATCTGGTCCCAGATAAAGCACAGTAATGCCGATTTGATTAAAAAAAAAGTTGTAATTCACAGACAGAAGCACATGTGTTGCATAGTGGCTATGCCTTTATTAGGCGGTAAGTGCAATATGTTTTTTTTTTTTTTAATCTCGTTTAATTACAAATATAATTATAAAAACAACTATTACTCCAAACATGGCATTTTAAATATCTAATTACACTTGTCTTTTAATTAACAACTGCCTTATAAATATAAAATATATATATTTTTTTTTTCTCTCTGGGTTTGCACGGTGTACAAGTCAAAGGAATATTTCAGAGGGGAAACAGTGGGCCGTTTGGGACCGCAGGTGTCTAAAGCTGACCAGCTGGCTTCTCTGTGAGCCTCTGTAAAGAAAAGCACACGACATTGTCCGAGGAGGGGGAACATTTTTTCAGCAGCTCTGCTGGTTGCTATAGAGAGCAGTAAATTAAACAACGCCTCACACGTCACCAGTATCGCCTCTTCTGGAAGGCCCTACGTAAATCAGAATGGATAATGGACAAAAAGAAACAAGAAAGACAGAGTGAGATCAGCTGATTTTAAGGAACTGTTTAAAGGTAGTAAATAAAGTGTAATTTGCACAACTAATGAACTTTGAAGCACAGCACCGTCCAATTACGCGTCACTGAACAACAGCCTACATAGCCTAATAAACAAGGTAGAAATACCAATAAAGTCCACAATGTAGGCCTTCAATAACATTCAACACATTTACCTTAAACTATTATAAACAGAAGTCGTTTAGCCTATATCAATAAAAAACTACTTAAAATATTTTTAGCTGCTATTGAAAGGAACATCAATAGTTCTGGGTATATATCCAGATTCATATGTTTATGAAATGTCAGGAAAAAAGTTTTTGTGTGTGATTATTATGGACATACAAAGGTTCATTTTGTTTGAATTGGTTCAATTTATTTGTTTCCAGATGGGACGGGCCTGTAAGCATTCTTAAGTTCTTGTTGTAGGCTACAGTGTGGTCTCTATGACTGCTTAGTTTTACAATTTTCCATATCCAAAAAAAAGGAGGAGGAGGAGGAAGAAGAAGAAGAAGAAGAAGAGGTACACTCTTAAAAATAGGTTGCTTCACGATGCCATAGAAGAACCTTTTTGTCTAAATGGTTCCATAAAGAACCTTTAACATCTGAAGAACCTTTCTGTTTCACTAAAGGTTCTTTGTGGCGAAATAAGGTTCTTCAGATTACAAAAAGGTCAGAAAGAGATGGTTCTTTAAAGAACCTTTGTCTGAATGGTTCTTTGTGGAACCAAAAATGGTTCTTCTATGGCATCGCTTGAAGAACCTTTTGAAGCACCTTTATTTTTAAGAGTGTATAGATAAAAAAGGTATATATAAAAAAAATCCCAAGGCAGTCACTAATCAGTTAACAGGTAAAAGACACAAAAAATATCCAAGGATGGCCTAATTGGGGGTTAAAGGGCGTTCCAAAAATGAAAAGAAGAAAACAGAAAACTTTAAAGACACGTTCCGGAAATTCATTCGCGTAATAATGAACATCATTGTGGCGTAACAGTGAAATCACCCAAATCAAAAGAACATTTATGGCAATTAAGGTTGTAATTCAGAGAATTACCACAACGCCACAGAAGCTTAAATAGTCGTGTTGGGAGAGAACCAAAGCACATTACTTTAATGGTATAATATGCAAACTATGGATCGTTCAATTACATGGCTTAACAACCCATAAATGATGCGAGTCTTGTTATTTGGACTGTGGGGTCTATGGTAATTCATTTGGAAGGGCCAGCGCTCTCTCAAATACAGTGAAATCTATTTCTGAGCTCCGGGAACCGCTGCCAAACTACATTTAAGGGAATAAAAATTAATGACAGAGAATCTGAGCGTTAAATTAACAGTAATTATATGACCCGCATGCTGTAAAGATTCCATTTTTTATGGTCTAATTAGGTAGCTGTCTCCCCATACATCAACATATTTCCCTCAGTGGATTTTCACACAAGATCCCGGTCATGTTCAATTACTGATTGAAAATAATTAATTACATTTTACAAAGACATGCTTTAAATCACACAATAATCAAACTCTTCTCATAGTTACGCTAATCAATGATCTGATCACCTGAGACGCAGAAAAAAAATATCTTGCATTACAAGCAGATAAGAATTTGGGGGGAGGGGGGTGTCAAGTGGTCTTAGCAAAAACACATATTGTTTCATACAGGTATCTTATATAGAGGTTTCAAAAAGTTACATTACAAGTTAATCTGAGCGTGTACTTTAACTGTTGCCAAACAGATGCCAAAAAATCGCGATTGCTAAACCAGGTAACCATAGCAATAGCACACCAGTCACGCTTATGTCGGGCGGTCCAGAATGCACCACATATCATTATTCGTATTACGAATCAAAACTTCAGTGTTTTGTTTACTAAGTATTTTCGATAAGTGGCGTTTAGCTAACTGCTTGCGGGAGAGAACATCGGCAGATTGCGCCCTGAAAACTACCTACCTTAATTTACATTAAGTTTAAAAATTATTTTAAAACCCTTAAATTGCTGTTCACCTTAAAATCAGTGTAGCCTATAAATCGCACACTGAAAGCCGGGTTGCACTTTCCAGTATTCCAGAAAAAAATGTGAATTAGCAATTAATTATAAAAAGAAAGTTAAACAGTGCGCGTGTGTAGGATTGGTGGATGGGGAGACCAATCTCTGTCAGTGGGGGAGTATCCTACAGCTCTTGTTGAACAGGTCTTGCACCGAGAATCTAGTAATCCCATGCAATTAATCCACACAAAGACATCGTTAAATCTATCCCTCACTACAATTGGCTACCGATTGTCTGCATTCATTGTGGGGGGCGCAAGAGACCACCCCTGTGAGGCAAAGTGGAGACCTGTTATGCGATCCATCCACGCAACAAAAGTGACTCGAACATTTTCAGAGACTCTGAATCATTCCACTTGAACAAAATCGGTAGGAAGAATGTGGGATTTTTTCCCCACAGAAGAGCCAGGATCAAATGGCACAACCTACAAGATGAAGAAAACTGTTCTACTGTGCTTTATTTACTCTTACTCCAGAATAAATACCATTGCCATATAACAGACCGACTGCCTGCATTAATTTAATTCAAGCACCTAAACCTTTAA